CCGAGACGGGGCATGATCCGAGGTCAGGAGATGGAGACCACTCTGGCGTAACCCGGTGAAACCGCCCCGTCTCTACTACAAAAATAGCAAAAACTGTAGCCGGGCCAAGCGGTGAACAGGGACTGTTGTACGTCGCGGCTATCGGGAGGTGGAGGCAGGAGAATGTCGGGAACCGAGGAGGCGGAGCTTGCAGTTGAGCGAGGATGCGCGCCACTGCAGTCCAGCTGGGCAGACAGAGCGAGACTCGCCTCAAAAAAAAAAAAAAAAAAAAAAAAAAAAAGTCGAAAATGCAAGCACTTAGATTATAAACAAAGTTTTCTTTCACAAGGAAAATTCTTAGAATCCAAATCTTGCTTCTCCCTCTTTGAAAGAGTTATTTTGTTTTTATTGCCAGTGTTGAAAAACATCCCACTATCCCTTAGGACTTAAGATTAGCAACAATTATTTCCCAGCAAGACCGGTATGGAGAGTCTCCTGAAAAGCTCAGTTTTGGCCAGCTACTCAGATTTAATGGAACATTTTTAATCTTAATAGGAAAAGGAAAATGTAATCTAGCTTAAAGTATGGTTATATCTACCTGTTTGGCAGGAACCTTAAATGTATAAACTTTCAAAACAATCAAAATGTATATTTTCTTAAAAAATAATAAGCCAACCCCAAACCTTTAACCTGCTGTTAAATTTAAGGAGGTCCTAAATGGTAGGAAATATAATTTGAAAATATTTTTGTCACTTAACATTTAGTTTATGTATATTGAGTGGTCTTTAAAAAGCTTCGTATCAGAAATAGGCTTCCATCAATAAGTCTCTAGAATTTATGCTCTACAACAGTACATGTCTCTGTGCTGTCAAACATACACGGACCTTTTGGAAGACCCTGGAGATAGGCAGTCTAGGTAATACCATACAGTGAAAAGGATCGCCCTTTTCAGAGAGCACAGTGGTGTGTTAGCAAATGTTACAAGCATATTAAAATCAGAAATGTTGGACTCCAGGGATTCTATTAAGTATCTCTTACTTATTTTATTGTAGAATAAAGAAAATCTATTTTAAAATATTCTTAATGAAGTATAAAATGGAGGTAACCCTGCTGCTGTTTGATTCTATAAAATGTCAGTAATATTCCTAAAATCATTATATAATGAAAATATATTTTACATAGTCTCAGAATAGCACAAGACATATAGGTTTCCAAAGTTCTCATGAAAGAGATAATTTGGATTTCTGTAGACAATTAGATAAAATTATTAATAAAAACACCTAGTATTTAGAGTATACCTCACAAAGGTAACTTTTAACATACAATCATAAAGTTCAGATAAACCAGAACCTGGTTTTATTTTAGATTTCATTTGGCAATTTTTCATAGCATCTAGGATGAAGTTTTCAATGCATGGTTTAACTACAGTATATTCTGAATTCAGAATCAGGAAAGGTAAACAAATTACCTATTCCAACTGAAAATCTATTCTAAGAACTCCAAGATGCAACTAAGCTCTCATCCAGTAGGCTACCATATTTCATTCTGAGATTTACTGCTTACAACCCAAATTCTGCACAATTCTAATACTAAAATCACCTTTACTGACCACCCCTCTCTTCCAACCAATGCACCTCAACTGAGACCTACAAGAACTTTGCTTTAAGACTATCAGCTTCAGGTCCACTAACCTTGCTCCCTCCTCCTCTTTGGCTTAATGCTTAAGACCACCCACACAACCTTCTATCAACCATACTTCTAAATCTAAAGTTCCTTTCATTTTAAACAGTCCCTAAAATAAAATCTTCTCCACAAAAATTAAGTGATAAAATGTTTCCCTAAATTTTACCCTCAAAATGAAAATCGTTTGCAAGTCTTCACTACTCAATAATGTGTACTTTCTCAATAAGTATTTGCTTAACACTATTTTTAATGTATTTCTTTTCCAAACTGATTTATTCTTTCAATATGTTGTCTCCATGACTATATAATTACCTAAGATTATAAGCTTCCAGAGGTCTGACACAAAACACTAACTTACATGGAATAACACATAATATAATGCCATGCTAACTTAAACAAACATGTTTCACAAATGTTTTTCAGCTGAGCTCTGAAGCTCAAATTCTCTTTCATGTTTTGTGGTTCTAAAGGTGTGATGTATTACATCTTGAGAGAGTACATAAAAGTCATTGTTAAGAAGACAGCATCAGTTATGAGTGGGCTCTAGAGTAAAAAAACTTGGGATCATATTCCAATTAAGTTACAACCTGTTACCTTCAACATGTTATTTAAACCCTCCAAATGTTTGTAAAAGACAATCCTACAGTATCTACCCCAAAAGGTTATTAAGATTAAAATGTGTAACTTCTCTAAAATAACAGTGGTTACTATTCCCAGAGATCAATCATATGATTTGCCTAGGACAGTTCTGGTTTACATCTGTTATCCTAGTGTAAATAATAGCTCCCCCCTACCCTCTAGCTCCTTCGTTCTCAAAAGTAACCTGGTTCAGATAATAAAATACATAATTAGCTGTGCTAGTTATTGAACTACTTTTTCTCCCCACAACTCCAAACCACTATTCTATACTCAAACTGTGTAATACTAGGGCTAGGACTATGAAAACTATGTTTCTCCCTTGCCACCTGAATTTTTGTTAGGCTCCACTAATAGCAGCACTAGAAGATAAAGACATAAAGGCAGGAGAGGGAAAGAATCTTGCTGTTTCCTGTTTGCTTGTTATTCCTGCCAGCATTCCCAGAGCAACAGCTCTTCATTCCAGTAGCGACACTTAGTTCGTTTCCAGCTTTTCTCAGCATTCCCCATACCAGCCTCATCATTCCCTATCTACACTACTACCACTTACCAGTGGCCCCTCCTCAGATGTCTGAGTCCCTGCTCTGCTGAAGTTCTCTCCAAAGTGTCTAGTAACCACAACCTCTATCTCGGTCCCCTAGGCCTAGGGGTGGTAGCTGCCACCTGAAGTTATGTGTCCTTTCTGCTTTTGTTTTGGTTCTCCAGTACCAATGTAACCCATTCCTTATATTACGCTGTTAAAATTGTAATACGTTACACATCGTGGTTTTTTAAATTATTTTTTCTTTTTCACATTGGTCATCAGAACATTGTAAACGATCTTTAAAAAACACATCACTATTAAATCCCTAAGAGATTTTATTTCCAGTGACTAGCATCAAAGCTCACCAGGAAACCAGAGTAGCAATGCACTAAGCAAGTTTAGTAGGTAACAACTTTCTCACATCATGAAATGCCACTGCATAGTAAGTAGGATCATAAGGATAAATATGACAAATACCTACTTCCCTCTTTTAACAGAAAAAAATCACTCTTCATACAGTCAACTGCACTAGCCAGTATTTTTCCTTACCACTCTACAGTTACTGATTATGAATACTAGAAGAAACAACAATAATTCATATCCTACCGTAAGGCAAGTCTTCCACAAACATGAAGAGCCCAGATGAGCACTCTTCTCTAACCCACAGTAAGAGAAGAAACAAAGGTGCTAGTATCCCAAGGAGAAGTATACTAAGAAAAAAGACGGCTGGGTGGGGTGGCTCACACCTGTAATCTCAGCACTTTGGGAGGCTGAGGCGGGCAGATCACCCGAGGTCAGAAGTTCAAGACCAGCCTGGCCAACATGGTGAAACTCCACCTCTACTAAAAATACAAAAATTAGCTGGGTGTGGTGGCAGGCGCCTGTAATCCCAGCTACCTGGGAGGCTGAGGCAGGAGAATTACTTGAACCCAAGAGGCGGAGGTTGCAGTGAGCCAAGATCACGCCATGGCACTCCAACCTGGGGGACAGAATGAGACTCTGTACCCCCCCCCAAAAAAGAAAAAAGACAAAATATCTATAAAGTGGCAAAAAATAGCTTCACTATTCCAATAAAGTCATAGAAGACTCGCAAAAGTAGATTTACTTTTACTGTTTTATTTTTCACTTTCCTGGAAATCAATATATTTCATGATCAAGACAGAGGCAACTCATCAGTAAGTGCGATAAAAATGTTTTAATTTCAAGGTCTGTTGCCCTGAATGTTGTTATGACTGTGACCATTGAATTTGTATTCAAAATTAAGTTTTACTCGAGTTAACTTGCTGATATAGTTTGTGTATCTATCCCCACCCAAATATGTTGAATTGTAATCCCCAGTACTAGAGGTGACGCCTGGTGGGAGGTGATTAGATGTCCTCACAATAGTGAGTTCTCATGAGATCTGGTGGTTTAAAAGTGCTTGGTATTTCTCTTACTTGCTCACTCTGGTTTTCACCACGGGATGTACCTGCTCCCCCTTTGCCTCTACCATGATTGTAAGCTTCCTGAGGCCTCCCCAGAAGCAGATGCTAGCACCATGCTTCCTGTAAAGCCTGCAGAACCGTAAGCCAATTAAGCCACTTTTCTTTATAAAATACACAGTCTTGGGTATTTCTTCATAGCAATACAAGAATGACCTAATATATACTTGCTTTCTAGATAACTGTTTGAAATGTCACTACTGCTGTAGTGTTCCCTACTGATTTTGTGTTAAATTTCTAGAGGACAGCCCTTAATGTAATACTCTTAAAAGGCTCACATTTAAAGTGCCTCAAATTATACTGTACTTTAAACTTAAAATTTAAAACAAGAATTCTAAAGAAAGATTGCTGAAATAGACAACTCAATTCCCTTCCTGAGACAGCCCATAACACCAAGTACTAGATTATGAGTGAAGGATCCATATAGGTACTATTTTTCCTATGATCCATCTCCATAACCACTTGTTTCCCCCTAACATACACTTCTACAAGGCAGAAGAGCCCACCAATGCTTGGAAAGTCTGTCTCTACTATTTCCTGGTGAATCACAGACTGTTCCTTTATATAGGTTAAACATAGACTTAAATTATTTCTGTGGCTTACAGCTTTCTATTTTCACCACTGTGACATTTAATTGAATGATAATTATCTTAACAAATCAAAATTCCAAAATTTAAATCTCTCACTTAGTCAAGAAGTTAGAGAATTCAAATTGTATTCATTCAATTCGTTTGAGGAAATATTCAGAAAAAAATTAACTTTCATACTTACATTGATACCAAAAGAGTTAAGAAACATAATACACAAGGATAAATGGGTCTATCTAGACAATACTTATTCCCTCTAAACTCAAAGACAGGACTCTTAAAAAAGGAATTAGGCTTATATTGAGTCATCTTGTATTAAAATATAGACTGTCAAAATTGATGAAATGTTAGGTAATGGAAAAATGTGCCATTCTATTGCTATTTGTATTTCAATTTTTGTTTCAGAAACTAGTAAAATTATAAAGAGGAGATTTAAGAAATACACTCTTGAGGGTTAACAGATACTAGGAATAAAAACAAATTTACCAAACTTTAAAATACTAATAAAATAAGTATTTTATTAATGAAAGTCTGGAAAACGTGTGCACCAAAATAAAAGTGACTATTAATGTTAAATTAAAAAATCTTCAAAGAACACATATCACATATTCAATTTTTAAAAACTTTATATAAAAGCTCTATTATAAATACAAAGCTAAACTATCTGAGTACTAACAACATACTTCATACAAAGAAACTTAACAGTAGTAAAATACAAATACATAAGATGCTTATTTTTGGTCCTTTTGGATAAAAGAACTAAGTTGTTTTTTTTCAAATGGCTCCAGGCACAAAAATAGAATATAAGATGATAACTGCAACATTCTTAGTGTTTATCCTTGTAATTCTTTAAATGTCACCAGTCATAATAGCAATGAACTCCTCTTGGTTTACTGTGGTAAGAAAGAAAATGAAACAGTCAGAAATATAAACATTTTATTTTTTCAGAGTCCAGGACTACCATTTTACACTAAGTATTTAAAAAATTTTACATTATGCAAAATTGTTACATCAAGACATGGCTTTTTGCTTTTACTTTGTTAGGCAGTGGAACATGTTTATTAAATGTAACTTCTTGAATGCAAAAGTGCATATAATGTGATAAACATTATAAATTAGTATTCTATAATATTAACTGGGGAAAAGATAATGTTACCAAAAAAGTCAATCACAGTCATATTTGTATATACTTGCTAAAACATTTTAAATGCTTGACATTTCAAAGTTCTTTAAACAATCTTCTTTATAATCTTTATTCTACTAGTTCATTTAGCAAATCCTTCCTTTACAAGTAAGCTTGAACATATCATGCATGTAAATTAGATTTCTAAAGAATGAAAATATATTAAAATTATAAAAATAAGAAATTATTATTTTTTGAACTTTTATATGCTTAAAAGCCTATGTTAAAGAATAATTAAAACCAGGTCACCATACCTCAAAAGTATCAATAAAAATGGCAATTTGAAAAGATTACAGATTTAATCTTAATCGCCAAGGTAATCCAGCAACTATATAGATGTAAATGCAGAAAATAATCATGGATAAGGACTAATATTTAGTTTGCCAAAATTATAAATATAGTAAGAATCTCCAATTTATAAAACATAATGTTTAAGACAGCAACCTAGAAATAAGAAATCAGATAATCTTATTGAATATAATTTTGAAAACCCAATATATGCACACATATCAATTAAGAAAAATGTTCAGAAGATACTTCTACTAAGTATTTAGCATTTAGCCCTAAGACTTAATACATACCTAAGCAAGACACAAGTTATGAATGATAATTTTGACAATGCCAAAAGAAAACTACAGAGACATTAAGACCTGGTTTCTAGTCATAGCTCTGCACAGAACAGTTCTGCATCTCATTTCCTTCATCTCAAAACACTGAACTATGAGATGATGTTTTAGATTGTTTAACTCTTATTTACCATAGAAGGTATTATATGAAAATACTCCACTGAATCAAACATTTTTAAGTGGCTAGTGAATGCTAACACCACAATAAGTGTTGTGTAATATATCAAAACAGACACCAGGCTTCCTATTCTGGTACACATTAAAACTGAAATGAGAAAGATACTATATGATATTATAAAATTATTGTTAACTTTCTTAAGTGTAACATTGGTATCATAGCTTTATGAAAGATATATCCTTGTTCTTAGTAGATGGATATGCTAAAATATTAAAGGATCGAGCTTTTTTCTGTTTTATTATTAAAATTTAATTAATTAATTAATTTATTTATTTATTTATTTATGAGACTGGCTAACTTTTGTGTTTTTGGTAGAGACGAGGTTTCACCATGTTGCCAAGGCTGGTCTTGAACTCCTGGGCTTAAGCAATCCACCTGCCTCAGCCTCCCAAGGTGCTGGGATTACAGGCATGGGTCATGGTGCCTGGCCTAAAGGATTGAGTTCTTAATATATGAAATTTATTTTCAAATGATTGAGAAAAAAACACACACGACAGATAAAGCAAATGCGGTAAAATACTAATTATTGAATCTAGGCAGAAGGTACAATGGTGTTCACTGTAGTAGTTTGACAATTTTTCTCTACGTTTGAGAATATTCATAATGAATAGTTAGAAAAAATTAGCCAATTAAAAAATGTTGAGGAGATAAAACATGGTCACAGGGAATGGAAAGAATATATACTGCACTGGTTCTAGAAACCACATAGAAAACCAGTTTCGATAACTATGTTAGTCAGTTTTTATACTTGAAACAGAACAAATGTTTTATAACACAAAATACTATTTATTATTAAAATAAAGACTAAATCGGTGTTGAAAAAAATCCTTCACAATGGTAAAAATTATTACTAATGAGAAAAATTCAGGTAAAGGTAAGTCATTACTTGGGCTCTAAAATAAAAATACAGAATTTGGAAAGGATGTAGAAAGGGAGCTGGGGTGGGAGAATACCATCAGAAATATAGTCAAGAAAGAGAATAGTGTATGCCTCACAGAAATAAGCTACGATGTTAGGGAAAAATGCACCCCTCCAGAAGCTGACAGGGAACTACGAATCCATGCAATCAGTATTTAACATCTATAAAACACTATGACAGACATAGTAAGAACGTAATACAAAATCTATATACTCTCAAACTACTTTCAAGATCTTACAAATTGAGAGTAGTGATCTTTTTTTTTTTTTTTTTTTTGAGACGGAGTCTCGCTCTGTCGCCCAGCTGGAGTGCAGTGGCCGGATCTCGCTCACTGCAAGCTCCGCCTCCCGGTTCACGCCATTCTCCTGCCTCAGCTCCCGAGTAGCTGGGACTACAGGCGCCCGCCACCTCGCCCGGCTAGTTTTTTGTATTTTTTAGTAGAGACGGGTTTCACCATGATAGCCAGGATGGTCTCGATCTGCTGACCTCGTGATCCACCCGTCTCGGCCTCCCAAAGTGCTGGGATTACAGGCTTGAGCCACCGCGCCCGGCCTGAAGTAGTGATCTTTAACCTTTGCAGTTAAATAGCCATGTCTGCATATCTTAGGAAAGCTATGATCTCTCTCTGTTTCCAATAAATAAAGCTCAAATATATAAAATTATTAATCAATTCAGCCAGTGTGCACCTTCACTGAAGAACCCCCGATTTAGACTGAGACATCTAGACCAAATAGGAAGCAAGAGTATGTTCTTAAGAACTGTATTAAGAGAAAAAACATAAAACAGTCTTAGAATGATTTGATTACAAATCATTTTAACAGTGTAATACAGCCATGATTAAAATATTCAAAATCCAAAAAGTACTTGTTACTTAAAGATCTAGAACTTTTTCTTGATCTGTAAAATTTCAATACTCAAACTGCACATTTTAAGCTTCATATAGAAGTTTGAAAACCACAAAACACTTAATTTTTATATTGTTTATACATAAAAGGAAAGAATATATACTGCACTGGTTCTAGAAACCACATAGAAAACCAGTTTTGATAACTATGTTAGTCAGTTTTTATACTTGAAACAGAACAAATGTTTTATAACACAAAATACTATTTATTATTAAAATAAAGACTAAATCGGTGTTAAAATCATCTCTGGATTACTTATAATACCCAATACAATGTAAATCTATGTAAATAGTATATTATTTTATTTGTTTTTTTTTTTTTTTTTTTTTTGAGACGGATTCTCGCTCTGTCGCCCAAGCTGGGGTGCAGTGGGCCGGATCTCAGCTCACTGCAAGCTCGCTGCCCGAGTTTACGCCATTTTTCTGCCTCAGCCTCCCGAGTAGCTGGGACTACAGGCCGCCGCCACCTCGCCGGCTAGTTTTTTGTATTTTTTAGTAGAGACAGGGTTTCACGGTGTTAGCCAGGATGGTCTTGATCTCCTGACCTTGTGATCCGCCTGGTCTCGGGGCCTCCCAAAGTGCTGGGACTACAGGCTTGAGGCCACCGCGGCCCGGCTCATATTTGTACTTTTTTTATTGTATTATTTTCCCAAATATTGTTTCATTGCAGTTGGTTTAATCTGCAGATGTGAGGAACTTGTGGTACAGAAGACTTAACTGTAGTTTTAAATACGTTGAAATGTTATTATAATTTAAAGTTTTATGTATAAAACAATATAAAAATTAAGTGTTTGTGGTTTTCAACTTCTATATGAAGCTTAAAATGTGCAGATTGAGGTATTGAATTTTCAGATCAAGAAAAAGTTCTAGATCTTTAAGTAAACAAGTTACTTTTTGGATTTTGAAACTATTTTTACTCATGGCTGTTATTACACTGTTAAAATGTTTGTAATCAAATCATTCTAAGACTGTTATTTTATGTTTTTTCTCTTAAATACAGTTCTTAAGAACATACTCTTGCTTCCTATTTGGTCTCAGATGTCTTCAGTCTAAATCTGGGTTCTTCGAGTGAATGGTGCACCAACTGGGCTGAATTGATTAATAATTTTATATATTTGAGCTTTATTTATGGAAACAGAGAGGAGATCATAGCTCCTTCCTGTAAGGATAGCAGACATCGGCTATTTAAACTGCAAAGGTTAAAGACACTACTCAGGCCGGCCGTGGGCTCAAGCCTGTGAATCCCAGCACTTTGGAGCCGAGACGGTGGGATCACGAGGTCAGCAGATCGAGAGCCATCCGGGCTAAGCCCAGTGAAAAGACCTGTTCTCTACTAAAAATAGCAAAAACTAGCGGGGCGAGGTGGCGGAGGCCTGTAGTCCCGCTACTCGGCGAGGCTGAGGCAGGAGAATGGCGTGAACCCGGTGAGGCGGAGCTTGAGTGAGACTGAGATCGGCCAACTGCAACTCCAGCCTGGGCGACAGGAGG